GGCATTTTCCAGAGTTGCGCATGGAGGATGGCCGCCGGTGGAAAAAGATGCCCTCCCTCCTCCAGCCCTCCCCCCCGCCCTTCCCCCTTCGCTGACCCCCCCCCTTCCCTCCCACTGCTCCTCCTCTGAGGGCGTCGCCTCCACGGACCCGGGGAAGCCGCGCCGCCCCGGCGGCGACAACATCGGCCACGTGGTCCAGAAGTACGTCGAGTGCCCGCACCTCATCCGAGCGGCTGGGAGACCCCCCGTGGCAGCCATCCGATCTCTGTACTGGCAGCGGGCGTACGCCCATTGCGTCTGGCCCTCTGGGCTGCTGGTGCGCAGCCGAGGCTCGACGCAGCTGCAGCCACACCGCCCGACCGGCCCCAGCCTCCCCTCCTCCATCCCCTCCTCCTCTTGGTCATTCTCGTTCTCTTCCTCCTCCTCTCCTCCCTTCCTTCCCTCTCCTCCCTTCCTCCTCCTCTCCTCTCCTCCCTTCCTCCTTCCTCCTCCTCTCCTCCCTTCCTTCCCCGTCCTGCCCCGTGCCAGTACCTCTGCTTCTCCTGATGCGTGCGTCGGTCGAGCAGGGCGCCCCAGCGATATAGCGACGCTGCCGGAGGTGCTCCGAGAGCGTCCTGTGGTGCCCGAGTGAGGGCGGAGTAGGAGGAGGAGGAGGAGGAGGAGGAGGAGGAGGAGGAGGAGGAGGAACAGGAGGAGGAGGAGGAGGAGGAGGAGGAGGAGGAGGGAGGAGGAGGAGGAGGGCGGAGGATGGCAGAAAGCCCATGCGAATTCGGAAAGACATCCTCATGACTGCTTGGTCTCCTCCTCCGACCAAGGTCCGCTCAAAACGTGCCCCCGCTTCCCATCCCAGGGGTCCCTCCGGGCCAGTCCTTCGCTGAGGTCGGTGCTCCGACGGCCCCAGGGCCCCAAAACGGGCCACGAGATGCCAGAATGTGGGAAAGACCTCGGGTCGAAAATCGGACCCTCCTCCTCCTCCTCCTCCTCCCTCCTCCTCCTCCTCCTCCCCGACCTAAGGTTACCCTGCGGCGCTAGTGAACAAAAAAGCCAAGATGTACTCGACTCGGCTCAAGCAAGAGGACCTGGCGGGCGCCGCGGGTCATGAGAGAAAACGAGCCTACGAAAAGAGTAGACAATTGAGTAGGCGCCCGCCAGGTCCGTGAATAAGGAGCAGAGGGGGACTTTAGTGCACGCCTCCCCCCCAGGAGTAAGCATAACACCCCCATGCATACCCACTTATGTTTGGTATTCGCTGCAGACAGGAAAACAAGAGCAGTTAGACCGGGTGCATTGAAGTCAAGGGTAAATTTATTTCGGGGCTCTTTGAGCACCAGGTTGGAAGCAACATGTACCTCTGTAGCGCCTGACGAATAAATACAAGATGTGGGTACAAATTGCTTCAATTGGGCACTTTCTGTTACTAAGGCTGGCCTGTGAGGCTGGCCTGGTGAGGATGCCAGAGGTAGTAAGGCTGGGTGGTGTGCGACATGAAGGAGCTGAGCATATAAAAAGGTGGCGTCTGATGACTGCCAAAGAGATGCTCCCCCGCAACCACCACAATAGTTTCAAACCATGTCAGAAGCAGCTCTTGGGATGTTGCCCTAGACTGTCGCGCAGAATGCTCAGCTCGCGAAGGGGGTGTTTTTTGCAAAGAACGGTATGCAGCGAGTGCTCCACAAATGTCACGTTGGCAGACTGCTCACGTGTCCAGGGCTGTGGAGCGACAAGAGGCTAGACTGTCTGCACGTCTCTTCTTCCAGCCCTCGTAACGACAGGAAGGCTGGAAACGTCTAACTTGTAAAGTCCCCCTTTGCCAGCAGTAGGCCCGCTCTTCTAGGCAGCAGTAGGCCCGCTCGTCGGTTCCCAGGTGGACGGGCCACCGTCACCGTAACTAGTGTCGGGAGTACGAGGGGTAGGCGACGAGAAGGGGAAAGGAGACATAATGAGCAACAGGGGAAGATTGAGTCCGTGTTAATTGCCTGGTGGCTCCTGAGCAGAGTTGAAGCAGCATGTACCTCTGTCAGACGACACACAACCAGTAACCAGAGAATTAGGCTCAAGCTGCTTCAAGTGGGCACCTGCTGTTGCTGAGGCTGGCCTGTGAGGCCTGCCATTGAGGCCGGCCAGGGAAATAGCCTGTAGCCAGTATGGTAAGACTAACTGCTGCAACATGACAGTATCTGATCATATAAAAGGTGGCGTCTGGTGATTGCCAAAGGTATGCTCCCGCCACGATTGTGGGGTGAGACAGATTAGACTGTGTGCACTTTTCTTCCATCAGCCCAGTAATGAAAATAAGTCCCCCGACATCCCTCCGAGTCTCAAGAGTATGTGCCTTCCTGGCCGGCCGCAACCGTGAGCACGAAATACAACGAATGAGGGGTAGGTGATGAGAGATGGTGCTTGTATTGATGGGGTCGACCCCGTGGGGGACCCAAGTGCATTCCTTATGCGGAAAGGTGGTTTGTATTGCTGGTATGATACTTGTTCCATAACAGTTCTTGGGATTCTGCCCTTTGCTGTGGGTAAGAAGCCTGCAGATGCGTCCCAGGGTTTGTAAGGTTAGCCCCAAGCCTGGAAGCAAAAGAAATGATGCAGTCCTCGGGCTGCGACCCAGGGTTTTGTAGGAGCACCCCGGACCTACATGTAGGGAGAGGGATGCCACCAGTGTGTCCGAGCCGCGAGGCACCTGGCATCGCTCGGACGTGTGCTATTTTTCCTCGGCGAGGACCATCAAGGAGCATCCTTGACCATCTGCCGAAAAAAACCACGCACGAAACCGAAAAAAAACACAGGGAATGGACGTCCGAGCGATGGCGAGGGCAAAGGGAGGGTGTAGGGCGCATCCGTGGTATCTGGAAGTCAAGGCAGGAGGCCCTCTTCTGTGAGCGTGACTGTACCCCGTGCCTCTGGGAGGCTCAGTTGTAGCCCCTTCTGCGGTGATCGAAGAGGGAGGAGCACTGCAGGTTAGTGTCGCGGTGGCCTCTGGAAGGTTCAAGTGTGCTCGCTCTGCGGCAATATGAGAGGTAGGAGTACTGGCAGTGGATGTCGCGGTGGCCTGCTACCATGCTGGTTTACCCGTGGTTTGATATGTGTCGGTACGCCTTGTCGGCTTGGGTCTGGGTGGAAGCTTGCGTAGCTGTGCAGTCTGTTTGGGAGGGGGTTCTTTGAATGGAGCACCGTGTGGGTGGTCGCGCAGGCTGTTGATGTAGAGCTCGAGCTCGTAGCGCGTCTGGTGCGAGCGGAGCCTGTCGATGTAGTTCGGGAAAGTCGGGTCGCCTGTTGATGAAGACGATGCGTCGGTTGTGAATGAGCATGTATGGGCATTTCTTCGTGTTGCAGCATTGTGTGTGGCGATTGCGTGTGCTGCAAGGGTTGGGAAGTATGTGTATAATGTCGCGAATGTGTGTGGGGACACCATTATGATGGGTAGCTCTCTGATCCATTGCTGCGTTCTAGTGTCTTCGTCTGGTGGGCAGATGATGGGCATCTGTAGCAAAGGCGGTGGTGGGTGTGCTGGTATGGTGAGTTTGAAGGGGGACCACTTCTTGATGTCTTTGACATGCGTAACGCATACTGCAGTCGTAGTCGGTGCTGCGTTGTCTCTGGGCGTGGCCGTTGGTTGTAGTGTGGGTTGGTTGGCACCTGTCGTGAGGTGTGCGGGTGGCAGCTTGGCAGGGCGCATGCCAGGGGTCGTATTCGGTGAGGTAGGTGGGGTGGTCTTGCCTAGTAAGTATGTGGGCATTGGTGTGTTGGGAATGTTGCTGTGGTGTGCCTGTGTGAGGTTGTGCGGGGTGCTGGCGAGAACGGTTGAGTGTGTCGGCGTTGGTGATGTCGGCGTAGCCAACAGTTTGATGTTGTGCTGTCGTTAAAGGTCGATTGGCGTGACGCTGGGGTGGAGTGCGTGCGTTTGGTATGAGCTGCGTGTTGGGTAGTGGGGGTGTGTTCGTGGCTGGTTGTTGGTTGGTTGTGGCTGGTGGCAGTGTGGGTGCACGCACGCTTCTTGGGTAATCTGGTTTGTGTGTTCGGCGGCGGTCGTTTAGGAGGTGGTGGTCGTTGTCTTCGCTGGAGCTGCCGCTGTCGGTATGTGTTGCTGTGGGGTTGTGGTTATTCATGGTCGGGCTGCAGATCTGCTGCAGAAGTGTTGCCGTGTCTCGTAGATTGATTGCCCAGTCGTACTTCGTGAGGTTGTTGCCGTCGTGGCAAGCGTTGAGCCATTTAGTATTTTTTGTTTTGCAGCGATCTTGTTGGGGTTGAGGGGTGACTAACCTCCAGTGAGTATGTCTGGAAGTGCTGTTTTGTCGTAACAACTTGGAGTCGCAGGGCTGCGTGATCGCGGTAGTGTGCTGCGAAAGTTTGTAAGTCGGTGCCGTATCGTGTGAATGTGGGGTGGTTGGGCGGTTTGGGCATAGGTAGATGCATGTCTGCGTGGATGGCGTCTCTGAGCCTGAACGTTTTGGTGGGGATCATGGGTCCTCCTCCTCCTATTCCTATTCCTATTCCTCCTCCTCCTCCTCCTCCTCCTCCTCCTCCTCCTCCTCCCGGCATTCCAGACTTCCCTCCTGAGACCGTACGCCACCCGTGCCGAATGCACAGCCGAGCGGGCCCATTTCCGACAGGGTTCGCGGAATCCGAGAGCGGCTCGCACGCTGGATAGGCTCAGAAGGGAGCCCTCGTCCTGGCCCCCGCCTCCCATTCTGGTCAGCATCGTCTGGCCTCTCCCCGTCCCCACTGGGCCATGGCCTCTCAGCCCCATGGGTCCGCCCTCCTCAGAGGCCCCGCGAAACCCGAAGGAACATGCACATGTCCTTACCGTCGGGACATTGACCTAAGGAACTCTAAATAATGAACGAGGCCCCTTTTATCCGCAAGCTAGACGTCGATTTCCAATCGAAAACATAAGGAACACCCGAGGCAAACTGTAAAACAATCAAGGAACACCGAGCCCCTCCCCAACGAACAGCGTTCCTTCTTCAGGGCCCCGACTGTACCCAGGTGGGCAT